CTTGCCTAAAATTTTATTCATTTCATTTAATATAGATGTATACTTTAAAGATTTTGCCTTTGCTAACTGTTTACTAAATCGAACAGAGAATTTTCTACACTCGTATTTAAACATTTCCCAATTAGAAGATATTGAAACACCAGGTTTTGCTTTAAATTGTTCAATGATGCTCTTAATACCTAAACAATATGAGGGAATCTGTAGTAGGGAACAATTTAGTTTCCAGTATCCAGGGTTTCTGTGACAAGTATCAGAATCATATAAAATAAGATCGATAAAAGCATGATCTGTGAGGGGAGCAGGACAGATACCACTGGACTTAATAAAAGGAGACATAAAGTCTGATGTAAGCCAGTAATCTATACGCGATTTTTTTGAGAGATCTTTACTAAACCAAGTATATGAACAATCTTTATCATGCATAAACCTGTAAGCATCCAGAAGAGAAAGGTTACTACAAAAATCATTAATAATGGCGTTACAAGTACATGACTCTCGTTTTGGGGGAAATCTATCCAGACATAGGTCAGGAGCTTCATTAAAATCTCCTCCAACTATTACTGCAGCAGATGGATATTTACCTTTTAAATCAAGAATTTTAGAAGACAGATCCTGAAAAAATAATCTATTTTGTGTATGATTATTAAAACCATAAACATTAACCAAGATAAAGAAAAAATCCCCTAGAAGAATGACAACAATAATCCATCTACCCTCGGCAGAAGACAATGACTGCAGAATCGAGCCACTAAAATTTCGGTCAAATAAAATCAAAACTCCAGCGGAGTGATTAGTACCATGACAAAATAAAACCTTACTACCCCACTGATTGCGCCAAAAGGTTTCATCTTCATAACAAGAATGTGTTTCTTGAAAAAAATAAACATCCCTTTTCTGTGACGTACAAAATAAAAATAAAGCCTTGCGTTTAGATAAATCACGAATCCCCCGTACATTAAGAGAAAAACAAGACAGTTTAACCGGCATATGAACAGTAACAAACCAAAAAAATGAAAATTACTTTACAACTACAATAACAAAGTTATGAAATGTAATACAGAATACAATTAAAGTGCAAAACTTGAAACATATCCATACCCCTCGATACAGTTTAGGCTATCTATGTCCCTTCCTTTCCTTACCGTATTAGCTAAATGCTCTTATATATGTCGTATTTTGCGAATGTCAATACTTATTTCGCCAATCAAAAGTAGGCCTACTAAAGTCAAAACGGCATTGAACATCCCTAGCATTTACTTTCGATCTCCATCGTCATAAAATAAAAAATCAGACATCGTCCGCAGAAATTCTCCTTCCATCCACGATAGCATTTGGACCCCTGAAGCCAGCACGACGACCCTCCTTTCGGGCTTTCTCCACCAAAGGCCACAGCTTGTTCCGTGCTTCCTTCGTCCTCTGCGTCAGGTCCTCCGAGATCCTAATCTTTTTCTGTTTCAGCACTTCTGATCTTCTTGCATCAGCCCAGATACGATCGCGATGAGACCGAGAGAGAAATTGTACAATTATCGTGCGATTGCGTGCATTGCCCAGCTTAGGCCCAAGCCTGTGCGCAACATCGATCGAAGACTGCAGAACATCTGCTAAACCTGGTGACACCTGAAGAAAAATGTCCATTATTACCATCTTGACATTCTCCCCATCTTCCTCCAGCACACCCGAAATCCTCAGATTCCAACGCCTCTTGTAGGCATCCAGCTCATCCACTTTATCCCATAAGCGCTTGTTTTCTGCAGCCAGCGAAGACAGCTGGGAGTCCATTTGACCAGATTTAACAGCTGTATTCTCTGATTTTTTATCAACGGCGTCAACTCGTGTTGTGAGATCGGAGATGAGGGTGGAATTGGATGCAACCGATTTCTCGAGCTCCAGAAGTCTTTCCATAAAGTAATCCTGCTTCTTACCCAGTCTCTCTATTGCTTCCAGCAAAACGGCATTTGAAGGATCTGAGGCCGGGCGTCGCATTTTCGGTAAAGGGCTTGCCGCTGGAGACTCGGGAAAACAAACATCCAACGAATCCAGATCATTGGCAGCTTTGGAATAATTATGCATACGTTTAACGCTTTCAGATTTCGGGATATCTTCCACCTCCATCCTGACGCCACACAGAAGAGCTCAAATCCACGTGTTGTGCAGCCTATCGTTAATGATCGTTGAGGGAAAAAGATGAAAAATTCGCAAAAGACAGTATCTTTGATGTATGCGGAGCGTGAACAAAACTGAAATCAGCGCATTGAGGACAAAAGAGTCTTTAACGGGGAAGACAAGTCAAGTTTTGCACAAAATTCAAGACAGAGCCAAGAAAATGTGACCTACACCGACGCCATCTTAAAGACGCCCCCCAGCGCGCGTCTTACAAGCAGAGGAAGGCGCGTGCTGTACATAGTAGTAGAAGAAGAGTGTCAGTTCTCGCGCATGCGTCCTGGAAATCTCTTGAACTCTCGTCTCAGGCCCACAAGGAAGCAATGGAATAGTCGAATAAAGTCGTTATTTTAGTTTTTTTTCCGCACAAAAAGTATTCTCGTCGCTTGATAAACTTATAGTGGAGCCACTGTAGGCACATGAAACATTTAAACATTTTCTTTAATGACTTTCTGGGCCGTCAAGTGTCAGTCCCTTTGGCAGCCTATGTAGCAGTGATCCAGCTCTCAGATTTAATCAAAAATATCTTCATTTGTGTTCCGAAGATGAACGAAGGTCTTACGGGGTTGGTACAGCATGGGGGTGAGTAATTAATGACTTAATTTTCATTTTTGGGTGAACTAACCCTTTAAATATACTCAAAATACCCATAGCCCTCTAGTGGCTGAAACAAAAATTACAACTCAGTATAATGCTCAGTCCCTCACAGGTTACTTCACTACCATTCGTATGTAGCTACAACATCAGCATGACGGTAAAATATGAACATTGTCACATTTTATGACACAATCTCACAGGTAAATATTCCATAATGAATTAATGCATACAAAAAAGGAATATAGCCTACTGTAGATAGTGTTCATTTAATATAATTTAGTTTTTCTGTGCATTTTCTGACATTACAGAAATGCCTCAATTAATGTTGATCACGTGCACTAATTGTATAGACATTTATTTATTTATTAAAAGGATGTTATTACTCCAATTTGGGTATATTTATGTTAGATAAATACAACTGCATTTAGTCAATGTTAAATATCATGTGAATGCGCAAAGTTGTATTTAGTAAGAAAGTAAAAAGCAAGCTTTCACTTGTCAGATGCTACTATCCAAAGTGGTTTACAGTATTTCAGTGACAATGTAACTGGAGCAACCTGATATTAAACAAACAAACACATGCACACACACACACACACACACACTGACTATACATTTTAGTATAAATATAAAGTTCCTTTAAGCAGGAACAACTGAAAAACTACTGTGAGAAGAAACCCCTTTAAGCCAAAACCTGAAATCTTTTGCAAGAACTGGCATTATTTAGCTTCAAAATAAAATCTCCCTGGCACAGAACCAAAGACACACAGATAACAGCAGCTCTACTGTATGATGGGGAAAGCATGATTTCACACTTACATGCCCAAACCTCATACAGTCACACCCAAGATGACTCAGTTCTGACATACCTTTATTTTAAAGTACCTTCACAACTGTTCTATTGAACAACGTTGGCCTGACTGACGGATATATGCCTGTAGGATATATGAATAAGAACATATATGAACATTGCCACATTTTATGTCTCAATGTAATGGGAAAATATTTCATAGAAAACATGTCACTAAGGCTCATATGAAAATTACATAATTCGCAGAAATGATCACAGCAAGGTTTTTTTAAATAATAAACATCACTATTGTACAACAATTTTAGGAACAATCACAATCAGATTCAAAGGGTGCATGCTGGTTAAAAATGCAGTCCAACTTGCTATCCCCTAAGCATCATGGGAAATGACATGATGACGACACAGATTAACCCTCATTGGCTTATCAAATTAAGTAAGATTGTAAAACATTACTGTCAAGTCAAGTCAAGCCACCTTCATTTATATCGCGCTTTTAACAATATAGATTGATCTATAGAAATATAGAAAATCATACTTAACATACTTAAAATGTTCAATGATATTTTTTGACTGAGTAGTAAGAACCCTCAATGCATTAAAACATTATTCCATCCATCTAACAAAAATATTCTCTTTGAATGTTTTGCTAACGTTCCCATTAAGACATAAACATGTTATTTCTGTAATGTTTTTGTGGAACTTGGGAATATTATTAAAGACCATATACTTTGAACAATTCTATTAACCTTACTTAAATGTTTTTGTTTATAACTTTGAGAGAAACCTGGTCAAAGAACGTTCACTGTTAGTAGCAGCCTACACTCTGACAGCTTGACATCTGTATAAAATGTGACTATTACAGAACTAAAAATGAAAAGGAAATTACAGATGTTGCATGCATCCATGTTATTGGCAACAATTAGGGAACGCCAATATTTGCTTTTGTTTCTGTGGATCGCTGATCTACTGCAGATGAAACATCTGTCCTGACAGCAGTTTCCACTCCTCTCCTTTACTACAGACGCCTACATTCCTTTCGACATTCAAAGCGACGAGTTTCACCTTTCAAACAATCCTTTAGTATTACAGAAGGGCTGGATTAGTTTAGAGGATGGGCTCTTCAGGGCGAGGCAATGTTTATAACAATGACACTCAGTAGATCATTCATTCAGCTCCGACACACACGGGGAAACTTCATCGTTTCCGCTTAGGTAATGCTTTTTATTTAACTTCTCTGTTTGTTAGAAGAATTATGCAAACTGTTAAACTACTGTTCTGATTTTAAGAAAACTGATGTCATATGAGAGATAAAGCATTGATTGACTGTGTCTTACTTTGCATAGGAAATGACAACTGAACTGAGTAATGCTGTTTGGGATTTAATTCTTTTCACATTGTTATGCTGATCATATCTGATATCTCTCTCTCCTGCTTTCTAGCTTGTGAAAATGGAGCATTTGTCTGCTGCAAACACACAGTTCTCCCTCGACCTGTTCAAGAAGATCAGCGGAGGAAACGCATCAGGAAATGTGTTCTTCTCTCCTGTCAGCATCTCCTCGGCTCTGGCCATGGTGTCGCTCGGTGCAAGAGGAAACACAGCGGCTCAGATGAATAAGGTGATCTCACACAATATACTATTAAAAGAGGGTGACGGAAAAGTAGACTGAGTCAGAGGGACCAGGAAGTGATGCAAGCCTTTGCGCAACGAGTGCATGCATTCCAACCGACTCCAACTCTATTTTAAAGCAACAGCACACTCAAAAATTAACATCAGTGTTTTGGCTAAATTTTAAAGCAGCCCTGAAAAGGTACATAAAGAGGAATGCCTTAAATGATTGTATAATACTTTCATGTTTAATGAGGTATGTTTTTTTTCCTAGTAATAAACTGTTTGCAAGCTGTTTAATTCATAGATTGTAATCAAATAAAAAAAAACAAAATTTATAAAATGATCCCATGATGGGGAGGTTCTATATATGAAGCACCTGATGGAACCCTTTAAGATTCTATATAGAAGCGTTTCCTCTAAGAGTGATTATATTCCAAGTTGCTATATTTCCAATGCAACATTGAACTGTAAGCAACAATACATGTAAAAGTTCATTCACAAACGTGAAATTGTGTTTCCAGAATGAGACCCAATATGTGTAATTTGAGTTCCAACATTGTCTAAACAGTAAAGTGCCAGTTATTAATCACTCTTTCCACTCTTTTCTAGTGCATCTTTTTTATTCTAATGGGTATTTGAGTAGGGATTTCACAATATTGAAGTGATCAAAATAGTGAGGAGGTTATCTTCATTAATTCTACCATAATAATGCTTTGTAGGTCCTGGGCTTTAACAATCCTCCACCTGCACAAGCAATGATGCAACAAGCTCAGAAGCCCCAGATTACATGTGGGGTCAAGGTTCAACATGGACCATCAATGATGCAGCAAACCCAGAAACCTCAGTTACCTGCTGAGCTTTTGGTATGGACATTTTCAACACTAACCTCATGGCTTTATGATTATTCAAACAGATGTATTTTCTGAAGTGGTGCATGTATCCTTTGGGTTTGTCTGATTCATGTGATTAAATCTGATATTGTTGATGCAAACAGAAATGTCCTGCTCAGCCGGTACCCGGACAAAAACATGAGGACCAAATTCATTCCAGCTTCAAGAAGTTTATGAGTGAGCTGAACAAACCAGGAGTCCCGTATGTGTTGAGTCTTGCCAACCGCCTCTACGGAGAGCAATCCTACCAGTTTGTTGAGGTAAGACTCGGTTTATTTACTGGAGGTTCTGGAAATGTTCTCAACTCTAATATCATTTGCACCTCAATCAATTTGCTATGTTACAGAAATTCCTCAATGACGCAAAAAGCTACTATGAAGCCGGACTGGAGAAGGTGGACTTCAAGAGCAAACCAGAGGCTGCTCGTGTCAACATCAACAAATGGGTGGAGAAAAAAACACAAGGTGAAATCCAGCATAAACTTATTCTGAAATTTAAATTTACTGTTCACTCTTACAAATTAAAGTTATTTCATGTCTTTTTCAGTACTTTAGGTTCAGCAAAATTGTCATTTCAAGGATCATGTTTGGCTTCATGGGTTATTGAATTGATATATAGTAAAAATATCAACCCAACCAGTTCAAATCACTGCTCAAAGTGAACAATGTCCATTTGTATTTTAGAGAAGATCAAGGACTTGATGCCACAGGGAGCCATCGATGAGATGACGAAACTGGTTTTGGTGAACGCCATCTACTTCAAGGGAAACTGGGAGAAGAAATTCCCAAAGGAAGCCACCAGTGATGGACAGTTTAAGCTGAACAAGGTGAGATTTCATGCTATTTTTAAAATTATTTTAGCAGACAAGATTTAATCTGAGGGGTTATAATGTGTTTCCATTGATGCTTGGCAGAATCAAACTAAGCCAGTGAAGATGATGCATCAAAAGGCGCATTTTCCTCTGGCCTTCATCCCAGAGATGAACAGTCAGGTTCTGGAGCTGCCGTATGTCGGGAAGAATCTCAGTATGTTGATCATCCTTCCTAACGAGATGGAAGACGCCACCACTGGCCTTCAGAAGGTGATTTGAATGCTTAAAAGGGTCGTGAACTGGATTATTTTATTATTTTATAATATTTCCTGGGGTGCCCTTATAATGTTAGTATGATTTTTACACAAAAGATTTTTACACAAGAAAGCTTTGTTTGAAGGGGCGTGTCTGTTGTGAGACTTCAGTGTAAACGCCCACTGCTGGCTTACATGTCTACATATGAAATAGCTAGTATTACATGTGGAACTCTCTCGAAATCTTTTACTACGTTTTTACGATTACAGCTATCGAGATTAATGAATCGTGAAAAGTTTGGATCATATATTTAGATCTATTCCCATCACATGAAAGGTTGTAGTGATGTGAAGTGAAGTGATTCTCATCATTGTAACACAATTTATGCACTCTCACAAATGCTTTCACCAAATAGCAATGCAAACCCAATGTAAATACAGTAAGAGCTTCGCTGTGCAGTTGACATCGTCATTGATTTCATAACGTTTGGAAAGGGAGCTTTCATTGATCGCTTTCTGTATATAATTTAATCACAGTTTAAATAAGATTATTTTCATCCTACTAAGAGAAACGACGTGAAGTTGATCGTTTAGTCACTGGCTTGATTTACTGATGCATAAACAGTATTGAATGATTTTAAGAGATAATCTGTCTGAACTTGAATAATTGTACATCAGAAATCATTGATCACAGATCAGGCATTAGAATAAGCATGATTACTTACATTTCTAGTTCTCATGTCACTATTCACTAACGTTCCAGTGGGCAGCACCAAAGAAGCGGTGATAGACGTAGGCGTTGATATTCTTCTGCAAAGGCGGTCTTTCGCTGCCCTGTGACGTCACAAGTCTCTACTTTTTAGATCCTGTCGTTTTCTAGCCTTGGTTTCAATAAAAGCAGTTTTTGGAATAACAAGTAAGTTTTGAGTTTTGAAACTTACAGGGTATTTTTTATAGTATGACGAACTATTAACTGTACGGAGCCCCTGAGGGGACCTTTGCAAAAAAATAAAAATAAATAAAGACTCGCGTGCGCACGAGAAACTTATCTCGTGCGCACGCATTACAATTTCTGGTTTGCTATAGCATCATTAATTCAAATGTGGAACTAGGAATGATATGTACGGAGCTTATTTTTCATCAATAATTCATGCGCATCCACATCCATGCTCTTGTTTTCCTCATAGTAACGACAGTGACGCAAATTGTACGCAAACCGGAAATTGTAATGCGTGCACACAAGAAACTTTCTTAGTTTCGATAGTATCTCGTGGGCACGCAATAGTCTTCATTTTTTTATTTTTGCAAAGGTCCCTTTAGGGACTCCGTATTACGGTCAAATATCAAGAAAAATTTGAATTCTCAATTCTTGACCCCTTTAATTAGCCAGCCGTGACCAGTCAGATGTTTACTTGTGGAGCAGTTTTCATTTAGACTATTTCAACTATTTATCTGACATGCCTCTCTTAATATCCAGCTTGAAAAGGCACTGACCTACGAGAAGCTCATGGAGTGGACCAAACCAGAAGTCATGCGTCAACAAGAGGTTCAAGTATCTCTGCCCAGATTCAAGATGGAGGAAAAATATGACATGAAGAGTCTTCTGATCAGCATGGGAATGGAGGATGTTTTCGACATGCAGAAGGTGAATCTTTCAGGCATGTCCTCCAACAACGACCTGGTGGTGTCAAAGGTGATCCATAAAGCCTTTGTTGAAGTCAACGAGGAAGGAACCGAAGCGGCTGCAGCCACCGGCGTTGTCATAATGACACGGTGTTTGATCCTCCCGCAGGTCTTCAACGCAGACCATCCTTTCCTTTTCTTCATCCGACACAATCCAACCAAGACCATTTTGTTTTACGGACGCTTCTGCTCTCCATGAGTGAGTCCTGCTGCATGAGACGCTTCCAGCTAGTTTAGGTGATGATTTGGTTAAAATGAGTAGGAGAGACTCGGGACAACTATTGCAATTTACAGGAGAAAGTTTTGGATGTTTCTCTTCATGCTACTGTATATGCAATCAAATCTATCAGTTTACATAAACATTTGTGTTGTTTCTTGCACTATATGAGGCTCTGTTATACAAGTATAATGTGTGCATTAACTGTAACAGTATATTAAACATAAATTAAATAAATCTTTACAAATCTTCAATAAAACTAGTCTTGTTTGAGTTTTTATTGTAATTTAATTGAAACCACTGTCACAAATAAACTAGTCAAACTGGTGCCAATGAAACTTAAAGTAAACTGTTTTCTGAAAAGGTGTTGAGGGGGAAACACGGAGGAAATTGAACTAACATTGTAATTAGTAAAATAAGTTATTTTTATGAATGTCACATCTGGGTGCATACTGTATGTTGTAATATATATATATATATCATTCAATTAAATCTTTTATTGGCTAAAATGTTTTTTTGGGACCTGTATAGGCAGAATAAAGCATTCCTGGCATTCCGGTAAATAAAGCATTCCTGGAATTCGGGCCGGCAAACTCTCAATGTCATCCTGAGACCCCGGCCTGGACACGTGCCCAAAGTTCCCACCACTCCTTTCAGGGACCAGGGGGTGAACCTTGCATTGCTGTGTCCTGTTCGCGGGAGCGGGGCGCTAGCGCATTGCCGTATTCAAATAGATTTCTTATCCATTAATGCAGGTAAAGCACACAACAATGAATGAAATTTAAAATCTAAACCATCAAGAGTGTAACAGACAGACATACACTGAGGCAGAGTGAGATCAGAGGATAAATTGGAGACTGATTACCAGTTAGTTGAGCTAGAATTTTCAACAACAATTACAAAAAAAAAATAAGTCTAAACTGTGACCGAAATTAGTCTTTAATTATGTCTAAATATCAAAATGCAATAGCTAATAAAAGTAATACATTATGTCTAAAAACACTGTTCTCAACAACAAGGCTTTTCTTTTTTTGATATACTATGTTTTATATTTGATTTTATCTTTCTTTCAACCAGAAAGCACGAAATCTGCATATTTTTAACTCGCACATAATGCATTAAAGGGTTAGTTCACCTAAAAATGAAAATTCTTTCATTAACTACTTACCCTCATGTCGTTCCAAACCTTTATGACTTTCATTCATCTTCAGAACACAAATGAAAATCTTTTTGATGAAATCTGAGAGCTCGAGTCTCCATGGCGGCACGGGAGGGAAGAGATCACTCGTGGAAGGCTGGAGGAGCGGTTTCTTGCTGGCCACAAGGACCGAAGATGGGGCCAGAGGGACAGCGTTGCCGCTCGTGCACCTTCTCCGTCTAGGAGCAGGTCCCAGAGACAGCGCGAGTCGATGAGGAAGAAGCAGGACCTCAGGAAAGTAATCCAGTTCAGATGCGACCAGCGCCCTGGAACCAGCAGAGGCAAATAACATCGCCTCCTTCCCCTTTTGAGGGTTTTTACAACTACCCTCCTCTTCCTCCTTGCCCTTCCTTAAGCAACATCAGGCCCTAGAAAAGGCCGGAATGATGATGAAAATTAAATAGTCTGAAAGTCCGGCTCTGGCTTTTAGTTGGCCTCCGTTTCCTCTAGCCCCTATATTCTTGTGAAGCCATTACAGGGACTCTGTTGCTGTCCTAGTGTATGCTAAAGCATGTCTAGCCTAGTGATAGCTGGAGCTTTTCTGATTCAAGGAGTTGGAGCTGAAGGAGTTCCTCTTGGCTTCCTCTCACTGCGAGAGTTAATCTATTGAAGCCCATACCGTGCATTCATTCATTGCTATAGGAGAGGAAGAATTTTCTAAACTCGTTAAAGGCACACTATTCAGGAATTCCGTTTTTGTCAAACAGCGACCCCTAGAGTCGCTGTGGAGTACTTGTATTTAACGTTACTGTCGTAAATGCCACTCACGCAGAGCGTCTCTGCCATAGACTGGTCTCTGCACTCACAGCCTGATACCCCTTTGAAGCTGTTATATTAAGGTACAAATCTTGCATAGTGTGCCTTTAAATAAGAGATCTAGCGCTAAAATGTGTTTTTGAACTCAACCTGAGCGCTCTTGTCAGCTGCTATCAGTGTCATGAATACATAGTGTCTCTTGTGGCGGCGCGCGCGCAGTCTTCACTCGGACTCGTTCTTCAATCTATCGCAGTTGCGGAGACTCTCTATTCATTCCGGTGAAATCACAAAATAAAATGCACAAAAACTTAGAAAGATTTACTTACTAGTCCATCAACAAGATCGCCAGGTCAGCATCACTGTTGCATCCAGTGCTGCTTTTTAGCTCGCGCCAACGAGTGAAAGCCCGACCGAGTGGGACTCTTGTCCGGTTCCTCACGCGGTCAGATTCTCTTTTCTTTTTCCTAGTCTCTTCCGACCGCGTTTTCTTTGCTTTTTCGATCGTCGAGTATCACGTCTGAAATGCGCGCAAGTGTCTTTGTGCTTCAAATGTTGTTGTTGTTGTGTGTGACGTCGTTGCGGATGTGTGTGACATCGTTGCCGTAAAGCATGTCGTGATTCTCGCAAGATTTGTCGGGGGCGCTCCTCTCAAACTTGCATTGCTGTTTTTTCCAGCAGCGTCCCCCCCAAGCTTTACTACCAGGATGATTCGCCCTACTATGAGTTTGTTTACCACCGAAATGACTTTGAAGCTGTTATATTAAGGTACAATTCTTGCATAGTGTGCCTTTAAATCATCTAAATCGACAACATGTATGTTAGACCATACCGACTAAGCTATTGAAAGAGATGTTTCCAGAGGTCATATATCCTTTTCTTAATTAATATCATTAATTCATCTTTGTCATTAGGACACGTACCAAAAACGTTTAAGTTGGCTATGATTAAACCACTTGTTAAAAACGCAACTTGATCCTTCAGAATTAGTCAATTACAGGCCAATCTCGAATCTACCTTTTCTGTCAAAGATACTAGGAAAAGGCAGTATCCTCACAACTATGTTTCTTTTTAGAAAGAAATAGTATCTGATTTCCAGTCAGGATTTAGACTGTACCATAGTACTGAGACAGCTCTCATTAGAGTCACAAATGATTTGGTCTTATCATCCGATCGTGGTTGCATCGTAAACATCCGATCTTGGTTGTATCTCTCTATTAGTGTTACTCGATCTTCGTGCGACATGTGATACTATTGACAACATCATTCTTTTAAATAGACTCAAATATTATGTTGGCATTAGTGGAATTGCATTAGCATAGTTTAAATCATACTTATCTGACCATTATCAGTTTGTAGCAGTAAATGAAGAGATGTCTTATCAATCAAAAGTTGTAAGGATCCTTTAACGGGACTGCTATTTTCCTCCTGGTCGGCAGGTGGCGCTTCTCACCTGACTCCTGCTGAACACTACTTCTCATTATGCCTGATCTATCACACCTGTGTCTTGCCCTATTTAAGTGTGTTTGTGCCATGCTTTATTGTTCAGTCTTGAGCCTATGTTACCAGTTGCAAGCCAGCCTGTTAATGTTTAAGTTTATATCGTTGGACCCTTGTGTCTGTTTTTCTTTTTACTGTTTCTTGGTAGCCCGGCTTCCTTTGTTTTGTTGTACTTTTTATCAGTAAAGTTTGTCTTTCATTGAAGATCTACGACTCCTTGCTTTTTGACCACCTCTGCTCTTGGATTCATCCATTGGGGAGTTAGCTCAATCTGTTAATTCAGTGACTTAGAACACAAGAGACCCGGGTTCTATCCCCACCTTGAACAGCCTCGTTACAGCAAGACTGAACCATATTATGAATCCAGCAGAAGAGACTTCACCACCCTCTAATGTGGATCGCATTCTGTCTGCCATTGCAGGGCAAGCTGCAGCCATTCAGCAACATGAGCAGATCCTTTCTGATATTCTTCAACGTTTAAATCTTCAGAATCCAGGCCCTTCAGCTCAAGAATCTCAGCCGACACAGGGTAATCCTTCTCAAGCAGTGGTCGTTTCTCTGTCAGAACCCAAATTACCAGCACCAGAACGATTTGATGGCAGTCCTGAGAAGTGTCGTGGGTTTGTCACCCAATGCACCCTAGTATTTCAACTACAACCTGGCAGCTTCCCCACAGAGAGCAGCAAGGTTGCTTACATAATTACCCTTCTTACTGGCAAGGCTTTAGACTGGGCCTCGGCTTTGTGGGACCAACATGCACCACTCACTGCAAACAGTAACAGCTTCATTGCTGAAATGAAGAGAGTCTTCCAACATCCAGCCAGCACAGGTGATGTGGACTACCGTTTGCTTCGACTCTCTCAAGGCACTCGAAGTGTGGCGGAGTTTGCCATTGAGTTTCGTACCCTAGCTTCAGAGAGTGGATGGGACCAGCGAGCCTTGAGGGCCACATTCCACCAGGCCTTGTCTCCAGAACTCAAGGATGAGTTAGCATTTAGAGACCCTTCTCCGGATTTGGAATCCCTAATCGAGGTGGCTATCCGAGTAGATCATCGTATCCGAGAACGACAACAGGAACGACATCGGGAGACCAGTGTGTATCGTCCTCAGGTATCTTCCAATACTGTTGAACCACTCTGGAAACCCAGTGATCTGGAGGAACCCATGCAGCTGGGTAGAACTAGATTAACCCAGACAGAAAGGGATCGACGGATGAGGGAGCGACGCTGTCTGTACTGTGGAAAGTCTGGTCATTTCCGGTCCAACTGTCCTGAACTGTCGGGAAAAGCCAGTTCTCGTCCAGGAAAGGGGGAACTGGAACGAGAGTAGATATCTTCCCTCATCCTGCAACCTCTGGAGTTACGATCCAAGCCACCATCTCCCACGACAACCAGAATCACCAGCTTAGTGCTTTCATCGACTCTGGGGCTGCTGGGAACTTTTTGGATCTAGATGTAGCCAGACGTTTGGGTATCCCATCCGTGCTCCTCCAGAAACCTCTAACCATCACAGCTCTTGATGGCAGACCTCTGGGGTCAGGACAGGTTAGTCACTGCACTTCGCTTATTC